GTTGTTCTGTAGAATGTCCTTCAGCGTAGGTTTGTCTGCGGTTCCCTCCTGGTTGGATCCAGGTTCTGTGCCCTTGGCGGACCCCAGAGCGGTGGTTGCTGTGCCCTCCTCGCCGCGTCCTGTCGGAGGCACTGGACTGTCAGGGTCCGCAGCCCGGCAGCGGCGGCGGCGGCAGATGCGGTCTCCCCGGGGCACACGTGGCCGCATTCACCCTGTCTCCTGCACTTGAGCTGGGAATTGGGATCCCTAAGCTCATCCTTTACATTCGCCACCTTGTCCAGCAACGTCAGGAGCTGCCAGCCAACCTCACGTGGGTGTTAGCTTTCCAAAAATGTTCTGAGGTGTCACGCACACGGCCCCTCAGCTCCTTGAGCTTCCAAGAGGTCGACGAGGAGAGTCCGGTACAGCTGGCTCGCAGCTCCCTGCATCCAGATCACACCATGCGCCGTAAGTGCTCTCTTTGCTTCCGGACAGAGGCATGGCCTGTTTTTCTATAATAAATGTTTCAGGATTCCTCTACAAAAGGCCGTTGTCCGCCAAAGGCATTCTTACATTTTCTCCACTGCTGCTTATTAATTCCGACACTTTTGAGAACCTCTTTGTTTTTCGCTCAGAAGCCAGTGGAAAGCATCAGTAAATATTTCTGCACTCCTGAAACCGAGTTTTGAAACGTCAGTCGTTGTTAAGCTATTTTAACTATTTGAGCTCTAAAGAAAATACCTGAGCAGAGTGAACACGTAGTCCTGGTGTTAGCGCTGGGGTGTCAGGAGTGGCTGCCTCGAGGAGCTGACGCCCAGGCTTGGAAGTGAGAACCTGCCAAGCGATGGAGGAAGCAGAGGCCAGGTAGGGACCGGGCAGAATGAACCCCGTGAGCAAACCGTAAAGTCAGGGTGCTCTTGGGACAGTACAGAGCTCATTGATGTGGAGACAAGAGTGACGGAGAGGGGCTGGAGAGGTGTTGATGGGTGTGGGGTCATGTGAAGAGCACCTGGAGGCCAGAGCACAGAGGACCTTGTACTGGACCGCGGAGTTGTGTGCCACCCTTGTGGCTTTCTCTTGAAAGGGGTGTGTTGTCACAGTCTTTGCCACCACAGTCCAGTTTTCACGATCTTACCTATATTGTTATTTTCTATTTACAGTACTTCCCTGTTCTTTTTCTCTGTTTTTGTTAATCCTCACCCAAGGATATTTTTTCCATTGAGTTTTAGAGAGTGGAAGGAAGAGAGGGAAGGAGGAACGGGGAGAGAGAGAAACTTCGATGTGAGAGAGACACATCAGTTGGTTACCTCTCGCATGCACCCTGACCAGGGCCAGGGATCACACCTGCCACCCAGGCACGTGCCCTTCACCAGGAACCACACCTGAGACCCTTCAGTCCTAGGGCTGATGCTCTAGCCACAGACCCACACCTTCCAGAGCTGTTTTTCTTTCTTTTTTTTTAATTCCCAGAGTCAAGCCCAGTGTTTGGTACAAAGTCGATCTTAAACAAGTATTTAAAGAAGACATCATAAAAGTTTATCATAAAAGATCTGCACACTAAGGTAGAGGCTGTCGAAATGCCTTCCTTGGTCTCCTGGGAGAGATGGGATCCTCCTGGGTGTTTTCTAGGTTAATTACAGCAATTTCCCCTGGAGGCAAATCAAGCAGGTGCCCACACTACCCCAGTGCTTCCTTTATACCCCAGGCTTTCAAAGCAAACGAGATCTTGGATCGGTGTTAATGTGTATACTAGCACCATCTAGCGGTGGTTTTAAGCAAATTAAAATTTCATCTTGGATAACAGTTTCAAATAAGCTTCTAACATTTTGTTAAGGCATTGTCTTTGATACAATATTTTGATGAACCTCTATCACTCTGTCCAAGTTAATAATTATGCCTTTGACTATTTTATTTGTGTTCGTTAACTGTGTCTTAACAAACATGATGCCTAGAACTTTTGATGAACAAAATCATTTGATGTGAAATATAATGGAATTTTGGAGGAAGTACATGATTAGACAGACCTGGACTCTTAGAACGGCGTTCTAATCTCATATGTTGTTTGCTGTGCCTCTTAGTCACCAAGTTCCAGACTCATGAGGTAATTTTTTCTAATATCCTCCTCCTTTTCTTTTTTAAAAATGTTTGGACAGTGCTTTTAAAACTAAAGAATCCTGTTCTTTTAATTATTATCCTTGAAGACAGCTGTTTGTCATGTCATGCAGATTTGAAGGGTAAGCTAGGAAGGCTGGGCAGTGAACCTTAGCCTTTTATCACTTTTGTGTGTCTTTGAACATGAGTTGTGTAGACATTTTGCATGCGACTCGCCACTGGTTGATTGACAGCTGAGGCAGGGAAGCGGATTATGATCATTGAATTAATTCCTCGTGGGTAGGGATCACTGTGATTTAAGTAATAATGTTAATAAAATAAAAGCATTTATTAAAAAGCTCCTTCCTGCAGAACATAATTGGAAACATAAAATTAATTGTCTCTCTCGCTCTTTTTTTAAGCACTTACACAATGCCAGGGGGAGCGAGGGGTATAATTATCACCATCTTACAGATGAAGAAGCGGAGGTTAAGTAGCTTTCACGAGGCCTGGCTGCTGCTGTGGTTGCAACGCGAGCCTCAGACCTGGATGCGCAGGACTGCGGGGCCCGCCAGTCCAGCACCCGGGATCCTGCTCTCACAGTCGGCGGGTGCGTGGGAAAAGCACCGCAGGAAAATGCACAGAAACCCCTGAAGCGGTTCATAACTCCTACTTAAATATACACCCACTGCTTGATAAAAATCTTGGTTTTAACTTATTGTTGACATTATCAACATCTGTTTGCTTCCACTCCTAATTATAGCCCCAGCCTTCATTCCAGTGTGAAGGGAGTTGAAGGTTCCTGTTTGCCTTGTGCTCCCAAATGCTTAGTTCTCTCCGCCTCACGGGCCCCCCCACAGGGGTGCCTGGAGCCGGGGCCCCACCACAGGGGTGCCTGGAGCCGGGGCCCACCACAGGGGTGCCTGGAGCCGGGGCCCACCACAGGGGTGCCTGGAGCCGGGGCCCCACCACAGGGGTGCCTGGAGCCGGGGCCCCACCACAGGGGTGCCTGGAGCCGGGGCCCCACCACAGGCGTGCCTGGAGCCGGGGCCCCACAACGGGAGTGCCTGGGGACAGGGCCCACAACGGGAGTGCCTGGGGACAGGGCCCACAACGGGAGTGCCTGGGGACAGGGCCCACAACGGGAGTGCCTGGGGACAGGGCCCACAACGGGAGTGCCTGGAACCCGGGCCCCACCACAGGCGTGCCTGGAGCCGGGGCCCCACCACAGGCGTGCCTGGGGACAGGGCCCACAACGGGAGTGCCTGGGGACAGGGCCCACAACGGGAGTGCCTGGAACCCGGGCCCCACCACAGGCGTGCCTGGAGCCGGGGCCCCACCACAGGCGTGCCTGGGGACAGGGCCCACAACGGGAGTGCCTGGGGACAGGGCCCACAACGGGAGTGCCTGGAACCCGGGCCCCACCACAGGCGTGCCTGGAGCCGGGGCCCCACCACAGGCGTGCCTGGGGACAGGGCCCACAACGGGAGTGCCTGGGGACAGGAGCACTGGCCAAGCCAGCGTTTTGCCCAGGTCACCACTCCCTTCACATGTCACCCTTGTGTCTGGCTGTGGGTCTCGGCAGGTGGAATGTGATGGTGGCAACTGCTTTGTCAATTTGGGTGTTGGCCAAGCTCTGGTTCATATGTTTATATGTATGAGTTAATATGTAAATAGTGACTATATATAGGTTTTCCAAATTTTATATTTTCTTTGTAAATATAGGCACAGAATTGTGTGCAGTCACCGTCATATCACATATGCTGGGCTTTTGGGGGGTTGTTTTTTTACTCTGTTCCTTTGGCTTCCTTCCAAATGCCCACGTGGCCTTCCTCCCCCTCCCCCTATTTTTTTATTGGTTTTAGAGAGAGAGAGAGAAATATTGATGAGAGAGAACATTGATTGGCTGCCTCCTGCATGCCCCCCACTGGGGATTGGGCCTACAACTTGGACATATGCCCTGACCGGGAATCGAACCGGTGACCTCTTGGTGCATGGGTCGACGCTCAACCACTGAGCCACACCAGCTGGCTCCTCACCCTATTATATGTATAAAAGGATACATAAAACATAGCATGTAGTCTTCCGTATTTTCCCATGCTTAGGTAATCATTTATAAAACATCCATGTGCAGTTCTATATACTAATCATATATGGGGTGTCTTTTTAGCCTTTTATGGTGAAGGTGGGATCAGATTATAAATACTTTTTGTAAACACATGTACCTTGCAACTAGCTGCCCCTTTTCTGGCAGTCTGTTCCCCAGAAACGAAAGCACCGATTTGTGAGATTGTGTGTCAAGAGTAGTTTCTACCGTGTTACTCAAAGTAGCAGGGAGGAAGGGGGAAGGTTACATAAATAATGATGTGTCTCTGCTGTGGGTTTTTAGACAGTCATTTAAAACATGAATTTGGCTTTTGCCAGAAGTGTCTTACTCAACCATCCTCTCCATTACGGATTTTCCTGTTTTTATTTCTTTACTGACATTTTAGTGGCGTTTCAAGCGGGAGAAGAAATACATGTATTGGGACCTTTTTCTGTATACTTGACAATTTGGCTAAGTAGATTCAAGACCTATTTTAATGTCTATGTGCTTTCTTCCTAGAGCTCTTAGGTTGTCGTCCACTCTCCCCCCACTCCCATTCTTACCCTTCTGTGTTCTGTATTTTAGACGTCGGAAATCCCCTGCCTCCAAAGAATTAAATTCTTTCTTCTTTCTTGACTTCTGACCCCGACTGGCCCTTCCCAGCAGCAGCATCTCCGCTCAGCCTCAGACACTGTCTCTAAACATAAACTCAGAACCAAAGAGACGTCAGTCAGAAATTGTGCCTGTGACCCTCGGATTTTCGGGGAGAGAAGACACTCACAGAAAAGAAACAGCATTTCCGTATAACCACAGCGACTGCCTCCTTTCCTTTGGCTCTGTACAGGTTTGAAAAGGGGCGCATCTACACATTCATTGGGGAAGTGGTCGTTTCCGTGAACCCGTACAAGTTGCTGAACATCTACGGGAGAGAGACCATTGAGCAGTACAAAGGACGCGAGCTGTACGAGAGGCCGCCGCACCTGTTTGCCATCGCGGACGCCGCCTACAAGGCTATGAAGCGGAGATCGAAAGACACTTGTATCGTGATATCAGGTATTTCAGGGGTGGGAGTCCCTGTACCTCCAAGGCCGCAATGTAGTTCACTTATTCAACACTCAGGGATCCAACTGTTTGAGGAGATCCTTTGTCGAAGTTAGATACTTAAGCAGTTTTTTTTAAAGAAAAAAGAATGTGACAAACGTTAAATACTAAATTATTCACAGCATTTCTGACCACCCTCTAGTCTGGGTTCATCTACAAATGCGTGTTACATCTGGATGGACTTCTAGTCGGTTTGTAGACTGAGCTGACTTGGAAATTCCTTCCTTCCTTCCATCTCAGACACATAAAAACACTGGATACGCTGTAACAGAAATTATTTTAGATCGTGACAGAATGAAACTGAGAAAATGAAATCCTGAGGTACCAAAAGCGAAGAATGAACTCAGAGTCAGAGGGGTCAATGGGAAGCGGTATTGAGGGTCGTACTGGCCCGGGGCTGGAAACAGGCTGGCAGAGCTGGGGGCACCCACAAGGAGGGAGCCGACTCCGCTGGCCCAGGAAGAGCGGCTGACCCTCCACGGAAAGCCGAGCTTGTCAGGGAATCTCGCGCAGGAAAATGGGGGCAGGAAAAATACCTGCCCGCTGACCCAGGAGGGCCTCCCCCGGACTGGAAACTTCTTTTGGTTTATCAAAACAACTCTGAGTGGTAAGTAAAGCGGTTGTGTTTCTACTTTACAGATGAGACTTTTAAGGGTCAGAAGAGTTAAGTCACATAGTGTTAAGAGTTAAGAGAACAACATAGCCTAGGACTACATTTTGTGAAAACAAATTATGTCCAACAGTATTGCCTGATTACAAAAGGGGGGGAAAAAGCTAACAATTATATGTGTATTAAGTAAACGTAGTCCCTTTGAGGACCTCGCTCCCCCCAAAATTCCAGTGGTAACAGCCGTGAACAATAGAGTGTTTATCCTTTTATACATTTTCTGTGCATGTACAGATACATAGTTACACGTGCATAGATAATTATATTGTAAATGCATAATTATAGAATTATAGCTGCTGTTACATAACTCCTTTTTTTCATTTAACAACATATAATGGACATTATATAGTAGTGCGTTCTCTAAAAACTGTAGTATTCTATTGTATCAGTGGATCATAATTTATTCACTCAATCCTCTACTTATGGGCATGTTATTTTCAGATTTTAGCTATGACGTGGTCTGCAGAAAGCCTTTTAAAACCTGTGGTGATGATGATTTTATTATATTCGTATTTTAAGATTAGTATTTTATTATATTACATTGTATTCCTTTCGTAGTATAAATTTCTACAAGTAGAGTTTTGGGGTCAGAAGGCATAAACATTTAAAAATGGGGGTAGATAATTCTAAACTGATCCCTCTTCCCCCTTTTACCAGTGGTCATGCTTGTTCTGTGCCACCCTGTGCCTTAAGCTTGCTGCTCACTTCATTTTTCTTTAACCAAAATTGCTTTCTTTTAATGAAAGAATTCTTTTGTCCCCATTAAGATGAAAAGAAATACTGCTGTGGAAAATAAGGTTATATTAATTTAGCTGTGGCTGCTGCTTGAATCACTTGCTTTTTTTCTGCTAGACTTAAGAGTCATTACGGGGGACTCTAGTGCACTGCTGGTGGGAATGCAGACTGGTGCAGCCACTATGGAAAACAATATGGTATTACCTCAAAAAATTAAAAATTGAACTTCCATTTGACCCAGTGATCTCGCTTCTAGGAATATCCCCTAAGAAGCCTGAAACACCAATCAGAAAGAATATATGTACCCCCATGTTCATAGCAGCACTATTTACAATAGCTAAAATCTGGAAACAGCCCAAGTGTTCATCAGTAGACAAATGGATAAAAAAGCAATGGTACATATACACAATGGAGTACTATGCAGCTGTAAGAAAGAAAGATCTCTTATCCTTTGAGACAGACATGGAGGGACCTGGAAAGTATCATCCTCAGCAAAACAAGCCAAGCAGAAAAAGACAAATACCACACAATCTCACTTATATATGGAATATAATGAATATAACAGTCTGAGGAACAGGGTAGACCCAGAAACACGGAAGTAGGGTACAGACTGACATCCCTCAGAAGAGGGGGTGGTAGGGGGTGGGAAGAGATAAACCACAGAACTTATATGCATGTATGCATAACCAATGGACATGGACAACAAAGCCGGGGATGGGGCCAGGGGGATGGGGAAGAGGGTGTCAATGGGGTAAAAAAGGAGAAACATCTGTAAGAAAAATAAAATTAAAAAATAAAACTATGCAAAAAAAAGAAAAGAGTCATTGTGAAGTACTAAGACTTTAGTTAGTCTAAGGAATTAGTTTATCACATTTTATCTCTTGATGATTTTTACTAAGTATCTTGATTTGTAATGTATTTGTTGCTTGATTTGTAATCTATTTTTTAAATTACTTAAAAAATAATAGTCTTATTTTTTTCAACATCGTCAGAAACAGTACCTTGTCAAGACAGGATGAAGTAACTCAAAAAAAGCAAACATCGAAACATAGGGATTTTAAATAAATAACTAGCATCACAATTTTAAATTATCCTCTTAAAAATTAGCTTACCTAAGCCTTGTACAATTTTCCCCAGGGGAAAGCGGAGCTGGTAAAACCGAGGCCAGTAAGTACATCATGCAGTACATTGCGGCCATCACCAACCCCAGTCAGAGAGCCGAGATTGAAAGGTAAGGGCGACCTGCTGATGGGGGCAAACTCTGGTCAGAGCTTTGCTTTCTACGTAGACTTGGCTAGACCTAAACTCTGGTGTGTATCAACGATGTACTGCTGATAAACTTCTTGGATTCTCTAATTGCATGCTGTCCCTACTCTTATTTCTATCACTCTGTTTATGTGTTTGTTTTTAATAGGGGAAAAGCTAACTACTGCAATAAGCTTTATGTAAAGATAAAACAAAACAAAATTATTCTGAAACAGGTGGAAGTGTCCCCTTCTGGTTTACCACTGCTTCCGTAATCGTCGTAGGTGGTCAGCAAAGACGTTAACATTCACACCGGCGGGCTTTATGGTGCAGATGCTCGAGGTTTCTTGCTCTTTCTATTTCTATCTTTTTAAAAGTACGTTCTGAGGAGCCCAAGGGTCCGGAGCGTGAAGGAGACTCTGGGGGGCAGCTCCAGGCCATCCTTGTCACAACTGGAACTCCTGACGATGGAGGTCCTGAGTCTGGTCCATTTTCTAAAGGGCCTCGGCCCCGCGAGGCCGCACAGTGAGTGGAGGCCAGCCCGTGTCGCTGTCCGAGGCCCGCACGGGTGCAGCATCTGGCTCGCAGGATCCGCTTCATACACGTATACGGAATGAATCCATGGGTGGTGGTTTTAAGAAAGGGAGAAATGTGGCTCTAAAGCCACTTGCTCACATGGTGTGGACTTTTGGGAGTGAACAGGATTTTTCAGAGTTGCTACTTTGAAGCTCAGTGGTCACTCACTGAAGAGCGACACTCCATGTACACACGTCAGTGTTCAGTTCCGTGAATGGAAGGAAGGGACGCTGGGCTGACGTGAGAGAGAGAATGTGGTGTCTGCCACCCAGTGTGGGCTTCTTTCTTTCCATCCTAAGGGCGCTGGAGGGTCAGGTCAAAAGAGGTGTTTTTGTTCCTTGTGACTTCTGTGTCTCTGGGTCTGTTTTGTTCATCACCTTATTTTGTTCGTTATATTCCACAAATAAGTGATACGTGTCTTTCTCTGACTGGCTTATTTCACTTATAATGTCTTGCATTTGTCTGTGTTCAAGAGTGAAGAATATGTTACTTAAGTCCAACTGTGTCTTGGAAGCTTTCGGAAATGCCAAAACCAACCGTAACGACAACTCGAGCAGGTTTGGGAAATACATGGATATCAACTTCGATTTCAAGGGGGACCCTATTGGTGGACATATCAGCAACTACTTACTGGAGAAGGTAAAATGTGCTTGACTTCTCAGGGTAGTGTTTACACGTGCTGTGTGTTGTTTTTTACAAACCTAATTATAACATTTATTTAATTGCTTCAAAGTAGCTTTTAATCCTATTCTCCCTCCCTTCCTGCTCCTCAATTAGATTTCTGGGATAAGATACTCTCCTTTTGTATTGTTTTATTAGCACTGACAGTATCAAGTTGAAAAAAGGTTACAGACTTTGTAGATAGAGATTTGGGTCTGGGAGCAGGGGGCAGTGGGAGAGGTCTGGGAGTGGGTGCCCACTTCTGGGTAATTGAACCAAACACTAATCTAGGACTAATCAGTTCTACCCTTTTTACACATCATCACCTCCTATATGTGTTGGGTTTTTTGGTTGGTTGGTTGGTTGGTTGGTTGGTTTTTGGTTTGTATTTCATGCATTGCCAAAGAGCTATTACATTCCTTCCCTGAAATAACACTCTTTTCCAACAATCATGCCCGTACAACTCTTTTAAATTGAGATATAATTGACATGGAACATTGTGTAAGTTCAAGGTATGCGGCGCATTGATTTGATACTTTCGTGTGTTTGTTTTTTTCTAATTAATTTGAAATCTCATTTTCTTCTTCGTAGCACTTTAAGGCAGCACCGTACAGTGTAATGTGTTTGTTAAATTGAAGTCAGACTATTAAGGAAATTAAGTGTTTCTATCAGAATCAATTTAGAAAGGACAGGAAACGCCAGGTATTATCGGTGTTTTTTCCAACTGTTTTCATGGTTTCGCTTTCTGTGTGTGTTTGATCCAGGGGATCCCCGGGAATGAGCAGATGCTTTCTTTGCAGAGTCTTTTAATAGCAGTCCCTCTGGGAACTGCCCCAGGCAGGGGTCCTTAGGCCATCTGGCTCAGGCGGCTTTTACTACAGGATACAAGTCTCTGAACTGCCCGCAGACCCTGGGGAAGGGACTGTTGAAAGCATCTGTCCCTTCCCTGGCCGGTTTGGCTCAGCAGTTAGAATGTCGGCCTGAGGACCAGAGTCCTGAGTTCGGTTCCCACTAGGGGCACATACCAAAAAAAAAAAAAAAAGGAAAAGAAAGGATTTGTCCCTAAACTGTCTTTCCTATTCTCTCCACTTCCAATTTCTTCCTTTCTAAAGAATAAATCCCATCTTTAGAGTCAAGGTTAAAAATATCAAAATTGCTTTATTTTCCCAAAGTTTTGGGAACTCTGTTTTAAGCCGTAAAAAGAATGATAAAAAAATGTGCCCAGAAAACCACATAAAGGAGACCTCGTTTTAGATGGGTACTATCCACAGGGTCTTTAAACGCACTGTTGCTACAGGACTCCCCGAGAAAGTGGCCCCTGGTTTGTTTTCGGGGCACCTTCGCAGATTAACCATTTTGATGTGCTTGTTTCTTAGTCTCGAGTGATCGTGCAGCAGCCAGGAGAGAGAAGCTTCCATTCTTTCTATCAGGTTGGTAATCTGCTGTGATGCAGGTGATTGGTCATGTGCTCAGTTGTGCAGGAAGTAAGCGTTTTTATGTTGGGTTCTCCCCGGGCCCGTGCCTCCCTCGTCTCCCTTGGCCCGTGACACGTCATGCACGTGCACTCGTGCACACCCCGCCCACGTGCTTCCTCAGAGCTCTGGTTAGCCTGGCGTCTGCGAGAGGCTGCCCAGTGGTTAACCAGTCCGGTGACTGCCTTGGTGGAGCGCCACCTGCATGTCCTCGCAGCGTAGGTAACAGTTCAGTGACTTGGGAAAGTCTTCCTTATCCTGTCAAAGCTGTGACTGCTTAGGAAAAACATTGTCGAATACCTGTTTTGGGAATGCTTTTAGAGAGGAAGACAAAAGCTTTTACAGTAGCCCTCCAGTTGGCAAGTCTTTTACTCAGAAAACAAGTTTGATACATTATTACAATTTGTTAAAGCCCAGTGTAATATAAACCAACGCTAATAAACACAGTGGGTGACCAACTTAAACTTAAACGATGCTGTCTCGGATTTTTTATAAGATAAAATCGTAAGCCAGTAAGATTGATTTCCACGTGTAAACTGTCACGATTACCCCATTGTCCTCCTTGCCTGGGATTCGGAGATGGATGAGGAAAAGCCTTTATTTTTTCATGGTGATTCAGCATGTGACTGTCTGCTGATACCTCTCACTTCTGTGACAATACTGACGTTTTCTGAATTCTGCAACACAGCTGTCCTGTCTAGAGACAGTGAGGCTGCTAAACAAGTGTCCAGCACAGGTCCTGGGCTCCTGTTTTACAAGTGACCAGTATAAAAGCAAAAACCTTCTATGCCAGTCACGCTGTGAAAGAGCTAAGACTTTCCGAGTAATTTTCTTCATGACTGTATGACATTCTCCATGACTGATAACTACTGAAGCCATTTACCTTCAAGGTAAAAAAAAAGTCAAAAAAGCACACAAAAACTTCAAAGCCAGAAACTTTGGCTTTCAGGGGACCTAAGAAAATTAAGCCCCGAAAATGAATAAAAGCTAAATTGCCATGGTTAGAACGTCTGATATATTTGGTTTAGCGTATATTTTGCCAATTTATTTTTCAGCTTCTCCAAGGAGGTTCAGAGCAGATGCTACGCTCTCTACATCTCCAGAAATCCCTGTCATCCTACAACTATATCCATGTAGGAGCTCAACTAAAGGTGAGCTTTTCCGCCCCGGCTGGTTTGGCTCAGCGGTTAGAGCGTCGGCCCATGGACCAAAGAGACGTGGGATCGATTCCAGTCAAGGGCATGTACCTCAGTTGCGGTTTGATCCCTGGCCCTGGTCAGAGTCGTGCAGGAGGCAACCAATCGATGTGTCTCTCACACATTGGATGTTTCTCTCTCTCCCTTCCTCCAGCTCTAAAAATATCCTCAGGGGAGAGTTAATTTTTTTTTTTTTTTAAAGCAAGCGTTTCCTCTTTGAGATTGCTAAGATATAGTATCAAAGAATCAGAGGGGACATTAAATAATTATCTGGTCCAGCATGCTGCCTTTAGGCAAATGAATGACTTCCATTACTAAACTTCTCAGAGGCAGAGAGTCAATACATTATTGACTCAACAACTTTGCTTAATAACCCATTTCTATATGTCATCACCATCTGACAGGAAGTTGCTCTCTTGTGATCTTGTGTTTTCTTTTAATTTTTAATCCTCTTCTATTATTTTGACACTATAAAAATATTGATATGTCGAGGCAATCCACCTCAAAAGAACATACCATATGATTTGGCCAGAGGCAAGTTGTTAAGACAAAAGAAAATCGAAGAGCATTTTGGTTGAAATGACTGTCAAAGTTCTCCCTTCACTATTTTTTCAACTACTGATCTGTCCTAGAAGTAGTTTTGTGACCCTTGGAGCATTTCTATTTAGCTTTGAAATTTTACCTTTTTTTTTTCTTCCCTTGTGTGTGAGTCCTTGCACACATACATAGGTTCTTTTTATTTCTAGCCAGTTTTCTGCTAGTCATTTTTCAGCTAACCCTAAAATAGTTTGTTGATGGTAGGCTGTGAAACAGTATCCACAGTATGGTCCTCGTTTGTTGGGGGAAGGAACTGTATACAAATCAGGAACGATAAGGAAGTTAAATATCTCACATGATAAGAGCCCTGAAATCGGGCAGTTGCAGTGTTGGTGAATTCAGTGCCTTAGCAATATCGATAGGGACCCAGATGTTTTCGTTTGTTTCTCCAACTTACAACTTCACCACCCTCCCTGGACTTGGCTCGTCTGCCTGGGCTGCTCTTCCTCATGGTCCCGCAATGGCAGCAGCAGTTCCAGGAGTCACAGGCAGAGAACGTGTTCCTGGCTCATGTCCCTTTACAGGGGAGGGGAACCTCTTTTCTGCCAAGGGCCATTTGGATATTTATAACATCATTCGAGGGCCACACGAAATTATCAACTTAAAAATTACCCTGCTATACTTGGTCAGGCTAATTTGGTGAGGTGTGTGATGTTCGCAGGTATTGATTTCGTGGGCCTCATATGGCCCGCGGGCTGGTTTACAGGTGGTGCCTTCTCACTGTGTCCTCCTGGGGTGGAAGCGACAATAAATCTCTGTGCCTCTTTTGTAAGGGCGCTGATCCCATCGCGAGGGCTCCACCCTCATGCCCTCGTCACGTCCCAAAGGCCCTGCCTCCTAATGTCACCTTTGGGGTTAGGGTTTCAGCTGGTGAATTTGGAGGGGAACACAAACATTTCATCTACAGCAAACCCTCTGAACCAGTCAGAAGGCCTGATGCACTGAATGTTTGTGAGAAGGTGAAATTATAGTCCCAGCCTCTTTACTAGCTCGCTGAATGATTGAGGCAGGTGGCTTTGCTTTGAGCGTCTTCTTTTCCTCACCTGTGGAATAAAAAGCCTGACCATACAAGAGAGGGAGCCTTGTTTCCAGCCTGTACAGGAATAATTGTGGAACAAGGGCCACGGGTGACACTAGCCAGGCACGTGGCTTGGAGGCTCCACGGCCACGTTTTTCCTTTGTGAGCTCACAGCCCATGCTGTCTCTCAGCTTCATCACAGAACAGCGATTAGCTTCTCTGAGTCAGCTCAGGGTGTGCTCCCTCCCTGTAGGTGCCAGGAAAGTCCAGGCGCCTATTTGGGGGTGACAGCGGTTCTCACACACACGTGAGCGTTGTACGTGCTGAAGGACAGTTCTACCCTGGAGGTTGTTTTATCTTCTCTGGATGCTCAGTGACTTGCTACAAAAGCGCCAAGACCTTGACTAAACTTGAATTTAATCTCATAGTGATTGGATGTTAATGCTCATTTGAAATGTGTGTGTGTGTGACTTAACTTTTCCATTTTCGTTCCTAGTCTTCTATCAATGATGCTGCAGAATTCAAAGTGGTAGCGGATGCCATGAAAGTAATCGGCTTCAGACCCGAGGAGATTCAGACGGTGTATAAAATTCTGGCTGCTATTCTTCACTTGGTGAGTGGGGATTCCCCTTAGAGTCTGTCGCCACCCTGTGGAGACAGGCTGCTCTTTCAGAAGATTTTGGGTTTCGTTCCCTGTAGATTTAAAAACTAATTTATGTAGAGAAAATGTCTCTCGTGTTTTGAAGAAATTACTTCATCAGGGGTTCTCTCCATCATAATATGAGGAGGGATTTTCCAAGCCACAATAGGTTTTGAGCCTGGCTTTCCTTAATTATCCCACTGGTATGTTGACTTTGAACTGGTGCATTTGAAGAATGAAAGAATTCAGCAGTAATGTGACCACCAACAGTATAAAATAAAATCCTTGGAACAGAATGAATGTCTAATGGCATTGGAAACATTGGAATCATAGATTATTAGAACTGGAGTTTTGACCGTCTCGCTTTGCAGGTTGGAAAATGAGACCTACAGGGGTGGCGTGGCCGGCTCAAAGGCACAGGGTCATGGCCACCAGCACTGGGGACCAACCTGGCAAGTTTATGGTCCAGTTGTTTTCCTCTCCACCACAGCAAACCCAGAGTGAAGAACCATGTATCAGATTTCTTTCATTACTGTCTGTATAATCGGACATGTTTAAAATGTAATAAACATGTAACCTTACAACAGAGGAGGGACAGCTTGAATTCAAATATGGAATAAAAATTACCTTTCACTTTACTGTAGCAAGATTTAACTCTAAATGAATTAGGACCTGTATGAAAATAGTATATATCAATATAAATTATATCTTATGTAAATGTTCCTGACTAGGAAGACTTAAGTATTATAAATTGTCTCATTCTTCTAACTAGTTTGCTAATACAGTATAACAATATCCTCCAGAATCCAAATAGAAATTTTGTTTTTAAGTTGACATAATGATTCTAGGATTTACCTGGATCAATAAAATGCAGGAAGATCAGATTTTTAAATAACAGTAAAAGCTACAACACCTTAAAACTTGTTGCAAAATCCAGCACCAGATTAATCAACAGATTAGCTGATGAGCTGGGCACTTGGTTGATGGTTAGTAAGTGTTTAGTGAATGAATGGAATGTAAATGGACTCAAAAACTTGAGGGGTAACATTTCAAATCAGGAAGAAAAGCTGAACTACTCAATAGATAGTGTTGGAGCAACTAACTAGCCATAAAAAAAAATAAGGTTAGATTCATACTTTACACTACATACAAACAAATTCTAGGTGGATTAAGAGCTTAAATGTAAAAAAAAAAAAAAAAACAATAACAACAACAACAAAAAAACAGTCTGGCCAGTGTGGCTTCGTGCTTGAGCATCGACCCATTCACCAAGAGGTTGCTGGTTCGAATCCCAGTCAGGGCACATGCCCAGGTTGTGGGCCTGATCCCCAGTGGAGGGCATGCAGGAGGCGGCCAATCGATGTTCCTATCTCTCTCTCCCTCTTCCTTCCTCTCTCTTTAAAAATCAATAAAAAATAAAATAGTAAAAAACAAAAAACACTGCACAGCTATTAGAAGAAAATATTAAATATGTATAAAATCTTTGGTGTACAGATGGTCTGAGTATGACACCGAAGAAAGATTCATAAGCCAAAGATTCACGGATTTGACTGCATACAAATATAAAACATCTGCCCATCAAAAACATACTGAGAATAAAAAGAGATGGGCGTCTGGGTTTTTATATGTAGTATATTTAGGAAAACAGGTGCTGCCAACGAAGTCGTTTCGAATTATGTAAATGTCCCCCTGACATACTGGTTCAGAATCTCATTGGTGACGTCATGTCTTGTTTCTTCCCTCTTGGTATAGGGAAATTTAAAATTCGTGGTGGATGGTGACACGCCTCTTATTGAAAATGGCAAGGTGGTGTCCATCATAGCAGAATTACTCTCCACCAAGACGGACATGGTCGAGAAAGCCCTGCTCTACCGGACGGTGGCCACAGGGCGCGACATCATCGACAAGCAGCACACAGAACAGGAAGCTAGCTACGGCAGGGACGCCTTCGCCAAGGTGGGGTTCTAACTCATTCTCTGGGCCTGGTGTGGATCTCAGCTTCAGTTTTAGGGAATTTCTGTGCGGGTGTGTTCAGATGTCCCCTGAAAGGAGGTTACGGCTTTTAGAAACCGTCATGATACTTTTGGGCCATCCCAGTCTCAAAACCCCCGAGCGTGCCCATCCTGCTAGAAAGTGTTCTGAGTAAAGCAGAGCTGACCGACTGGCAGGCTCACGGTGCCCCTCGCTTGCTCGGGTCCCGCTCACCGGCCTCTGTTTTGCCTCTCTCGCTCACTGATGCTGCGTGGAAGCCCCTTCAGAAGCCCACGGGTGGGGTTCTGCTCCGTTCTGTTTGTCTGTGTACCAGTGTGTGATGAAGGTTCCATCATTTATTAACCCTCCTCCTCCTAAGTCATTCACCTTGTTTCCTTTTTTGAAACAATGTTTCAAATTGGCCCAGTGTATCTCTCTCCACACACAAGTGCTTTTATCTCAGTTGGAGGGACTCCCAGGAATGAGCTTGCCAGACCAACAGACACACTGATTTTCAATGTTAACTTTACTGATTTTATGGATACATAGTATTGGCTCATTCTTACTTTAATTTTCATTACTAGTGTATTTGAGCATCTTACATACAAGGTATTTAAATCTGTTCTGAGGGTTTCCTGGGTATATCTTTCGTACATGTTGGGGGGGGTGGCGGGCTGTTCCCTTTTTATTGTCAATTTGTAAAAGCCGATAGCTTGAACCTTTTGTCTATTTTCCGCATGGTAAATGTTTTATTTTTTCAAGTCTGTCATTTTCTGTTCTCTTTTGCTGGTTGATGAATTGCTTTCTATTCCATTTCTTATTCTTGTAAGTATGGGGCTTGGTTTTTAGTCCTGGGAAGAATATGAATGTATCTCACTGCAATGGAGACTGGAGGGTTTGAAGGTGAGACGACATCAAGTTTGGATTTTTTTTTTTAATCCTCACCCGAGGACATTTTTCCATTTTGTGTTCAGGTAGAGTGGGAGGGAGAGAGAGGAAGAGAGAGAAAAACATTGACGTGAAAGGGACACGTCAAGTGGCTGCCACCCGCACGACCAACCAGGGCCGGGGACAAACTGCAACCGAGGTACATGCCCTTAGCGGGAACCGAACCCGGGTCTCTCTGGACCGCAGGCCAACGCTCTAACCGCTGAGCCAAACCAGCCAGGGCAAGTTTGAATGTTTTTAACATGATCACTCTGGAGAATCTTATGGGGGGACGGGAAGGTGGGTAGAGGAAGAATGGCAGCAAAGAGACCCGTTAGGGGGACATTTAGGTAACCCAGGAGAGAGATGAGGAACATGACAGCTTGGACTAGAAAGGTAGCCGTGGCAATGGGGAGAGGAGGGTGAGTTGAGACCAAATGTGTTTAGAAAATAAAGTCCACAGGACCTATTTGTCTAGGGAATGGTAGAATCGGCAATTCCTTAACGTGGTCTGGCTCCAACCTACCTCTCCTGCCTCATTTTATACCACAGTCCTGCCTCCTCTCTTCAGCCCAGCACATTCATCTTCCCTCGGGCCTCACAAGTTGTCTTGATCTCATTCTCCTTCCGGCCACAGGGCCTCTGCACAAGCTGTTTGCTCTGCTCGGATCGCTCTTGTCTCCCCTCTCGTCTGGTTAGCTCTTACTCATCCTGATCCCAGCCTGCTTTCTCAGAAGAGCCTTCCCTGGCCTCTCTGAGCCCTGAACAGGTTCAGTTCTCAGATCCCATGCACCTGTGTGTGTGTGTGTGTGCGTGTGTGTGTGTGGTGTGTGCGTGTGTGTTTTCCTTCACCTTATTCTCTAAGCTCCTTGGAGACAGAGCATGTTTACGTTTAACACCGTATCGCCAACAAACCGCATGTAGCAAAGTACTCAGCAAATATTCCTTGAATGAATACATTCCTAAGTTTCTCTTGCCATTTATTCATGGTTCAAGTAGGGTAGGAACCATTTTGGGGGTGGGGAGGTCGGGAATCCTGGCAGGTGGCGGTGAGACACCGAGGAGGGGTGTCAGGTCACGGGCACCCAGAGCTCAGGAGAGGGCTGCCCCGGGGTAGCACTCTGGAGAGGAGGGCACACTGCTGGTTAGTGTTGGGCGAGAAGCTCAGGCAGGCGTTAGACAGGGGAGAGAGGGGGACTGGAAGGAACTCCAGCCTCCAGAGGTCAGCCAGAGGGTCTGCTCAAGGTCGCCAAGAAGGAGCAGCCAGTGAAATAAACAGAAGGTTGGGGACGTGTGGTATCCTGAATCCCAGAGAGGAGAAGGTTTCGAGAGGAAAGTGGAGACGCTCCGTTGAGGAGTGCTAAGCATCTGAGTAAGTGACCTTACAGGGGGACAAGAAAATGTCTGTGTAGAGTGGCTCGGGGTCCTCGATGAGCCATTTCCGTGGGGGAGTGGGAGCGGAGCGAAGACGGGGTGGGTTGAGGCGTGAAAGGAGGTGAAGAACGCAGGCAGTGTGTATGGATATATGTCAGTGCAGAGTGGGGGGCCGGAGGGAGATGTTAAGGGAAAGCTTTCTGAAGATGCGACATTGAGAGCATGTTTGTACCAGGATGCAAATGCGTGCGCGTGTGCGGTGCCTTTGTCTGCGTGTGCCTTGGCATGTGTGTCCTTGTGTATCGGATGCGTGTTTGATTCTCAAGGAATTTCAAACTGTGGCATTTGGCCCAGATCTTTAGTATTATAAATCCACATGTATGTTTTTCAAATATATAGCGCGTTAGTGGAAACAGTTATTAACTCGTTGCTTTGCCACTTTTTATAGTTGACAAGATGAAAAAAACAAAGCAAGAAAGTGACTTACATCGGGGGAGTAGGCAAAGTATTGCAAAGCTGAGCACAGAAACATACCTGAGGAATGTTGTTGGAATACAATGCGTGTACTAACTGATAATCATCTTAAAAATCCAAACTGTGTAGTTTTGCATCCATTGTGTTGTTGTTTTTCTCAGACAGTCTGCATTTCTTATTCTGCTTGGGGTAATAACAGCTATGCTAAATGGTAAGAAGAAGGAGGATAGGTATTTAAAACTTATCACACCTGGAGAGGATTATGCTGAGTGAAATAAGCCAGTCAGAGAAAGACAGATATCACAGATCTCACTTATAAGTGAAATCTAATGAACATCATAAACTGAGCAGCAAACTAGATCCAGAGACATGGAGGCATGGAGCAGCCTGACACCTCAGAGGAAGGGAGGAGATTAACCAGAGAACCTATATACACATATGCATGGCCGTGGACACAGGCAGTGTGGTGAAGGCCTGGGACGGGGCGGGGGCTGGGAGGAGGGGAGTCAAGGGGGAGCCTGAGGGGACATCTGTAATACTGTCAACAATAAACTAAAATAAATAAATCCAAACGTGTCACAAACCTAAACAGAGACTCAACCCCGAAGAGGTAGGGATTTACCGCGGTGTTTTCCTCACAGGCAATATACGAGCGTCTCTTTTGTTGGATCGTGACGCGCATCAATGATATCATCGAGGTCAGGAACTACGACACCACCGTCCACGGGAAGAACACGGTCATTGGTGTCTTGGATATCTATGGCTTCGAGATCTTCGACAACAACAGGTACACCAGCTCAGATCCTCAAAGCTCGGCTGTGTACTTTTGATCTGCTTGAGCCTCATGCGTCCCTTCCCTTGCAGCTTCGAGCAGTTCTGCATCAATTACTGCAACGAGAAGCTGCAGCAGCTCTTCATCCAGCTGGTTCTGAAGCAGGAGCAGGAGGAGTACCAGCGGGAGGGGATCCCCTGGAAGCACGTGAGTGCACCCCCGTGGGGAGCGCCTTCGTGCCTTTCACAGTATTGATCATGTCAGATCTGATCGTTTTTTAAGGTATTTTTTAAAAATCTTCTGGGGGTCCGGCCAGTGTGGCAGCTCAGTGGTTGAGCGATGACCTATGCACCGTGAGGTCGCCAGTTCGATTCCCGGTCAGGGCACACGCCCAGGTTGTGGACCTGATCCCCAGTGCGGGGCATGCGGGAGGCCGCCAGTCACTGTTCTCTCTCATCGCTGTTTCTGTCTCCCTCTTCCTTCCTCTCTCTCTCTAAAATCAATAAAAAATAAATAAATACAATCTTCTTGGGTGCATGAAACAGCAGAATTTTAGCTTTTCCTTTGGGGATGTGTAAATACAATTCATTTCCAGGGTTGGCGGATGGGATTTTTCTAATTTAAAAGACTTCCTTGTTGGCGCCCAGAAAATGCTGAGTTATTAACATTTCCACTTCATGGCTGACACCGCCTGGGTTTTCCGGTTCGCATCTCTGTTAACAGCTTAGCATCATTTAGACGTTATCCAGAGCAGCAGCTTTTGACCTTCAGCTGGCCGAACTTGGCTTCCAAATTTTGTTTCTTCTCCTTCCTCTTTTTCTTTTCTTTTCTCCGCTTACTCCTTTTTTTTCTCCTCTGCTTTGTAAACTAAGTGACATTGTATTGTCTTCAGTTAATGTTATTTCTGTTCTCTGAGATTCTTGCGTGAAAGCACTTACATTAATTTTATTTCCATTTCTACCTGGGTGTCGCATTTCCATGATCACCCCTTTTCTTTCTTGGCTCTTTGTGAACTCTGGTACTTCTCCGAAACTAACCCGGGAATATGTTGCCAGAATCTGTGACTGGTCTGCGGTACAAACCCAGAGATCACAGCTACAAAGCATGGCAGTTAGACACCCCCGCTCGTGATAGAAGTGAGACCTAGTAATTTTTCTCTTAGAAACAATTTTAAGAACAGACTTGAACATTGCGAACACTTCGAGCTTCCATCAGTTTCTGTGTTTATCCTCTTGTGAAATAGCATAGACAATAAAAATAAAGCTGATATTTGTTTTGTGATAGTCAACATTATAGCAGTGAAAAAAACAACAACAACATTTGAAGGGCTGCATTCAAATTACTTTTCCATCCCTTCCCACCTTCCTACTTTGTATCTCTTCTCATTCAGGAAAAGGAGGTGGTAAGGGTAGCTTTCCCGCCTCACATTGTATCTTTGCCTCTCCTCGTGTGTGAACATTAGAATACCGTAAGAATTTTGTTCGAGTGTTTTGGTATAAATTTTACCTATTTACCAATAAACCGAAAGGTGTGCTATTACTTCATAATAGGGTTACCTGCCATTTTGATTTAGAGAGCGAACTCTTATGGCACTCAAGATGTAATTATTCAATTCAATAAGGTTTGCACGCAGCTTTCTTAGAGTGACTGTGTTGTATAATATAATACACAATTACTACTGAGGCTTAGAGTGTTATAGCAAATTTAATCGTAGAACGTGTTCTTCAGATGTGACTCAGAGATACCGGTCAGACATATCCTTTAATAATCAGAGTATCAAGTTCCACAGACGTAGTTGATCAAGGGAAAAGTCCACGATGGCAGAAGGCTATTTCAGACGTCTGAGAAAGGGCCAAAAGCCCTGAACACGCGAAAAGCCCCAGCGAGACAAACCAAGAAGTATGTATGTGTCCTCGAGCGAGCAGAGGGCTCACTCCAAGGTAACAGTCACTGACCACATACCAGCTCCCCCCAGATGAGAACCCCTGTTCTGGGCACGTATTTCCTTTAAAAACCCCAGACTTCTGATTTTTTTTTTTTAACGGAAATTTCAAACATACAATTTAGGAGCAGAGATCATAATGTAATAAACTCAGTGTATCCATCACCCAGTTCTAACAGTCACCAGTGGATTGCCAGCCTTATGCCATCTGTCCCCACTCACCCACCCCCAGATTATTTGGAGGCAAGTCTCAGACTGTGATGTGACAATACTGTGATTTATTTCATCTGCAAATATTTCATTGTGTTTCTCTAAAAGATAAACACTTTTACAAAAAACCACAGCCATAATACCCTTATCCCACCTCAAACACTAACAGTAATTCCTTAATGTCACCTGTCCAGTCAGGGCTCACGTTGTACATTTTCTTAGTCGTCTTAGCGTTCCTTGTTTTGTTTTTAGTCTATTTGAATTTGGATCCAAATAAGGTTCCAATGCTGAGATTGATTGATAGGTCTCTCCTGTATCTATAGGTTTTCCCCTCCCTTCCCCCCACCCTGTTCCTTGTCATCTTTTGTTGAAAAGAACAGATCATTAGTCCTGTGGTGTCTCCCCTAGTCTGAATTTTGCTAATTGGATTCCTGAGGTGTCATCAGATATGTTTCTTGGTGTTTGTGTGTCCTTGGTTGTGCGACCTAAAGTCTCAACTGGCTTCAGGACCAGTGTTTTTCTCCCAGTGGGCTGCAGACTTCCATCAGGAGGCTTGTGTGCCTGGGAGTCTGAGTGAATCAGCTTTAAAAGCTTTTGGTGCTGCCGTGTCCAGGCCTTTCTTAGCTGTTGAGGACTCTCGGGCACAAAGCTGCCTCCTTCGCAGGGGCCTGGGAGGCCCAGAGCCCACCCCATCATGTCTCTGCTTGCCCCCGGGGTCCCCTCAGAAACCTCCTGGAGATGCCAGGCTGCTGGAAGAAACTCGTTTGGAAACCACTACGTTAAGCAGCATGAAACTTACGAGCTAAAAGGACTCTTTAGCAAAGGTTCATCACTTTTGCTTTATATAATTGGAATTTTGGGGAACTTACTTCTTTTGTCCTTGGGACAAAAGACTTAGTCTCTAATTCCATCATCCCAAAGTCTAAAATTTCAGCTATTAATTAATATAGAGTTCTTGCTTTGTGAGTAGTTTAAGGATATTTTTTCCAAAGATGGAAATAATTTTCTCCCTAATTAGAAATGTAATAAATGCCAAATTAATGGTAATATTTAGGCCAGGACTCTCCGTCTTCGTACTGCTGACACTTGGACCACACATATCCTTGCCGTGAGCCTGTCCCGTGCCTTGTAGTATGTTTACAGCATTCCTGCCTCTTCCCACTGGAGGCCAGTAAGACTCTTCTAGTCATGACCATTACAAATGTCAGCAGGCCCTGGCTGGTTTGGCTCAGCCTGTGGGCCAAAGGGTTGCGGGTTCGATTCCTGGTCAAGGGCACGTACCTGGGTTGCAGGTTTGATCTCCAGCCCTAGTCAAGGTCGTGCAGGAGGCAACCAGTCAGTGTGTCTCTCTCACATCGATGTCTCTCTCACATCGATGTCTCTCTTTCTTTCTCTCTCTCTCTCTCTCTCTCTCTCTCCCTCCCTCCCTCCCCCCATTCCTGCCCTTTCATGCTATCTAAAAATTAATGGACAAATATTCTTGAGTGAGGATTAACAAAAAACAAACAAACAAACATAAATACGTCAGCAGACATTGCCAAGTGTTCCCTGGGGGGCAAAGTCACCCTCTATGGAGAACCACTGACTTAGACAAACCAGAAAAGTATTAAAAAGGAAAGTGAAAGCCACCTGGTTTGAGACCTACAGGCCGCGGAATACAAAAGAGAACTTGGAAGGTTAGGAATGGAGCTGGAAACCACAGGCAAGTACCTGGCAGGTGACCTCGATTTTAAATAGCACAGAGCAGGAATCCACGAGACACTTTCATAGTCTGTTAGGAGTTTGTAGATCTTGCAGAAGGCAGTAGAGGCAACTGTCGGTTAGGGACCTCCTCTGAGACGGAGCACATCCCCACGCGAGGTCAGAGTGGATGACGGTGAGCCGCCCGTGCTCAGTCCAAGCGCAGCGTGCCCGTGCCCGGCCGTGCGCTGTCTGTGAACGGTGGTGGGCGTGTGGCAGGACCTCAGAATCAACAGGTGTAGAAGAGAATTGCATAAACCTTGTGTCTGTTGAAGTTGCCCAAAAGCCAGCAGTTACTTATAACTGTATTCAGCTCCTAGAAGTAAATGAAAAACGTATCGTTTATAGACACGTATATCTGGGAATTCAGATTCTTATGCTGTACCCTGAAACACATCGGAACTCCGTCAACCTGCCCTGGCCAGTTTGGCTCAGCGGTTAGAGCGTCGGCCTGCGGTCCGGAGAGACCCGGGTTCGGTTCCCGCTAAGGGCACGTACTTCGGTTGCAGTTTGTCCCCGGCCCTGGTTGGTCGTGCGGGTGGCAGCCACTCGATGTGTCCCTTCACATCGATGTTTCTCTCTCTCTCTCTCTTCCTCTCTCTCCCTCCCACTCTATCTGTACAAAAAATGGAAAAATATCCTCGGGTGAGGATAAAAAAATAAATAAAATAAAAAACCCCGTCAACCTGTATGTGCTTGTTAACTTTGGGAAACTGGAGAAGGCTCCTGTGGATTCCAGTCCAGACCCATATAACTGAAAGTGCAAGTTTGTGTGATTCCTTGACTTCATCAAATTATCAGTCAAATAATGCTTGAAGGTCGCTTGCTGGCACTTAGTGGAATCAGGGTCTGGGGGTTAGTGGCAAGCAGATTGGGGGGTTGAGAGTGTGAAGGAGTCGGGTCAGGTGCAGGATATAGGGACAAGAGTTAGCGATGGGAGAAACGTTAGCTACTTTATGACTTCTGACCGGAGCAAAGCTCATCGCAGACAAAGTGTTTCATGGTATCAAGTCAGCAAAGAAAGTAAGCAGTAAGCCTCCGACGGAATGTTGCTGTTAGACCTCCTTGACGCCATTCACGTTTTCCGTCGAGGGAGCTTGACGTAAACGCTCGACACACACGGGGCCCCGTGTTCGGCCTGCCCTGGCCCCGTTCCCTTTGACATCGCTTCCCTGCTCTGTCCCGCAGATCGACTACTTCAACAATCAGATCATCGTGGACCTGGTGGAGCAGCAGCACAAAGGGATCATCGCAATCCTGGATGACGCCTGCATGAATGTCGGCAAGGTCACCGACGAGATGTTCCTCGAAGCGCTCAACAGTAAATTAGGCAAACACGGGCACTTTTCCAGCCGAAAGGTAATGTGTCTAATGACGGCTTGCTCTCGTTTTCATCTGTAAGACTTTCCTCATCGTTTGACAGACTTAAATGACTTTATATGTGGGGTTACAAGAATGTTCACTCAACTGAGGCCATCAACATCCATTCAGTGATTTATTGCTGTGGATAAAATTCTGCCTTCTCTGGTTTATAGGATGACAAGATTGATAAAACTCATTCTGTCCAGGAGAGGGCGCTCCAGACTACTCAGTTGACTAGAACTAGGGAAAGTGATGATGTCATTGATAACCAATAGGTACAGAGTCCCAGAGTCCTTATTCATCGGCCAGAATTTTGCTCCTGGCACTGAAAATAGCTTTTGTCCTTGGCTTTTTACTGTAATCCTCAGTTATCAAGCGTAGTGTGTTTGCTTTGCCAGACTGTGTGACTTTTCTTAAAAACAAAGAAATTCTAACCCTGGCTGGTTTGGCTCTAGCGGTTGGAGCATCGGCCCGCAGACCAAAGAGTCTTGGGTTTGATTCCAGTCAAGGGCACGTACCTCGGTTGCTGTTCAGTCCATGGCCCTGGTCAGGGTCATGCAGGAGGCAACCAGTCGATCTGTCTCCCCCCGCCAATCTGAAGATAAATAGAAAAATATCCTCAGGTGAGGATTTAAAAAAAAACAACCGAGGAATTCTAGCTGTAAGTCTAGTTGCTACAAGGAAACTCATTCCTTAAATGCATGGGTATGCTTTTAACTCCCCATTTTTCAAATTCTAAAAATTATATCAACAGATCACATTGCTGAATAATTGGTGGCAGTTGTGCTTATCAGATCTTTGTGCGGTGCCTTGCATGTAGCATGCCATCATGTTTGTCCTAGGAGGGTACACCATCGCCTCCAACTATTTTCTACAGATACAGGCTTGTCTAGCAACCAAAGGCTAAAGGAAAAACAGTCCCCATACATCTTCACGTCCGTAAAAAGGAGGCAAACATTTCTGATCCTTCGTAATTCCGTGTACATCTGTGATGCCCTGCCATTGTTCAGCACAAATACATCTATTCTCTAACTTTGTCCCCTTTGAAGTTACACAATCAGAATAGGAAGGTCCCACAATTAACTAGATAAAGCACAAACTATCAAGATATAGATTACTGGCTGACATGTATTTTAGGACAGTTTATTTCTAAAATATTCTCCTTGGTCTGTGACTGAGGATTGACTTACAGCCCTTCTACAAGTTGGCTTCCAGATACTTCACTCTGATTTTGGACATCAGGGTTTTGGTTAGAGGTATCCCTTTAGTTATTCCCCATTTATAATGCAAATACTTACTAAATGCATCTCATTTTTCAGGTACAATTTTGGGTGCTTGGGGACAGAGCAGTGAACAAAGTTAGAAGCAACCTAAATAATTTAGAATGATGTTTTCAGAGATGGCATGATTACATGGGCAAATGTCCTATTTTTGAGGGCTAGGTTAAAAATGTTCTTTATGCTCTAGCCAGTGTGGGTCAGTGGTTAGAGCATCAGCCATTGCACCAAAGGGTCACGGGTTCAATTCTCTTGTCAAGGACACATACCTGGGTTGCAGGTTTGCTCCCTGGCCCCATTTGGGGTGCGTGCAAAAGCAACCAATCCATGTGTCTCTCTTACGTCGATGTTTCTCTCTATATCTTTCCCTCTCACCATCCCTTTCACTTTCTCTAAAAATAAATGGAAAAAATGTCCTCAGGTGAGGCTTAACCAAAAAAAATATATATGTATATATCCTTTATAATCACAGTTCAGGTTTTGGAGACTCGTCTAGAATTATTCCTACCAGATGATAGACAATCAGTGTTTGTCAAATTTGAATTAAATTGGTACACTCATACCAAATAAATCTTACAGAATATTGAATTTTAAATTAAAACATGCAAGGCTATACTTCATTTAAATAAATAACTGTGACTCTGACATGAGAAATCACCTCATTTTGATATGTGACACCTTGGCCATTTATACTCCTGAATTAAATTTGTCAACTAAGTATTTAGGAATATAATCTCATTCTTAAGGTAGCAACTGTACCTAGTACATTTAAGCAGTTGCTACTGATTTGATAGGAAATGTTGAACAGCAATTAATCTGTAGAGATGGATTGTCTTTCTTGCTTGCTTGTTTTCTTCTCTCTCTGTGTGTGTTTTTCAGTCCTTACCCAAGTATATTTTTCCATTGATTTTCAGATAGAGTGGGAGGGGAAGAGAGAGAGAAACATTGATGTGAGAGAGGTACATCAATTGGTTGCCTCCTGCACAACCCGAACCAGGGCCAGGGATCAAACTGCAACCAAGGTACGTGCCCCTGACCAAAATAGAACCCGCAACTCCTTGGTCTGCTGGCTGATGTTCTAACCACTGAGCAGAACCATCCAGGGTGTCTTTTTCTCTTTCTTTTTTCCAAATGTGGGAGCCCAGGTTTTCCATCTCTCAGACCAGGTGGCTCCTTCCTCGAGCATCGTCCCCCAGACAAGCACTAAGGATGGGGAATTGTTAAAGTATGTTCTTTCCTGGGATTTTGCCTAATGAAAGAAAGAAAGAAAATAACCAGGCTGTCAGGATATTTTCATCACTATGAATCCAAATGTATCCAAATGTGATCCCATTTAATTAGTATAGACATCTCTTGGGTCCTTTTTCCTTGCGGGGTTTGTAAATAAAAGGGTTTTATAAAAGTGGTTAACAAGAGCCTTGACTGGGTGACTCGGTTGGAGTGTTGTCTTATACACTGGAAAGGTTGCAGGTTCGATTCCCAGTGGGGGCACATACCTAGGTTGCTGGTTCGATCCCCAGTCATGGTGTATATGAGATGCAACCAACTGATGTTGTTCTCTTTCTCCCTCTCTCTCTCTCTCAAAAAGAAAAAAAAAAAAAATCAGTAAAATCATATCTTTGGGTAAGGATTTTTTTTTTTTTTTGATCCTCACTCGAGGACATTTTTCCATTTTTTGTTCAGGTAGAGTGGGAGGGAGAGAGAGGAAGAGAGAGAGAGAGAGAGAGAGAAACATTGATGTGAAAGGGACACATCAAGCGGTTGCCACCCGCACGACCAACCAGGGCCGGGACAAACTGCAACCGAGTTACATGCCCTTATCGGGAACCGAACCCGGGTCTCTCTGGACCGCAGGCCGACGCTCTAACCACTGAGCCAAACCGGCCAGGGCGTAAGGATTTTTTTTTTAAGTGGTTGATAAGAGAAGGAAAGAGGAAAACCCTCTATATGTTATTTGGTGTCTGTAGTTTGCTTAACCTTCAAAACACCTCTCTGAGATGTGATTATTAAAGTTGGAAACAGCAAGTAGATGATAGAGGCCAGATTTGAACCTCAGAAATCTGACTCTAATTTCCTGTCTGACTAATTCTTCCTCTAACCATCTAGTTATCAGCATAGATCCCATCATCCTGATTAGGGTTGTTTGTTATCAGACACTAAAACCTCGTTGGTTTTTGTGCATCACCGCACTCAGTGTTTTGTGGATCCTTAGACACCTGCTTTAGAACTATTGGGATATCGAGTAACCCTTCACAGGGCAGGCAAAGAGGTCTAGGTGCCACTGTAACAAGGAAACTTGCAGAGTTATGGAGATCATCAGGGCTATGTAAACCTGCCCTTCCATGTCCGGCCCGTGTGGCTCAGTGGTTGAGCATTGACCCATGCACCAAGAGGTCTCCGGTTTGATTCCCAGTCAGGGCACATGCCCAGGTTGTGGGCCAGATCCCCAGTGGGGGGCATGCAGGAGGCGGCCAGTCAATGTTCCCTGTCATTGATGTTTCTGTCTCTCTCTCTCCTCTCCCTTCTTCTCTCTCTAAAAACCAATAAAATAAAAAAAAAATAAAAAAAAAAAACAACCTGATTTTCCAGCCCTGGCCAGTTTGGCTCAGCGGTTGGAGCATTGGCCTGTGGACCAAAGAGTTGTGGGTTCGATTCTGGTCGAGGGCACTTACCTTGGTTGCAGTTTGGTACTGGCCCTGGTCAGGGATGTGCGGGAGGCACCCAGTCGATGTGTCTCTTTCACATCAATGTTTCTCTCTCTCCCACTTTCTCCCTCCTTCCCTCCCTCCCACTTTTTCTGACCATAAATAGAAAAATATCATCAGGCGATGATTAAAAAAACAAACAAGAAAACTGCCCTTCCATGAAGCATTCCTCTTCAGTGAGAAAGCTCTTCGGAAGGCTGATCCCCAAGATAGACCTGAACTGCCAGCCACTGTGCGCACAGGAAGCACAGACGTTGCGTTCGGTCCCGGAAGCCCTTCCCAGACTGCTGCCTCCTAGTTCCGTGACCTTCTGCCAGTTGCCCAACCTCTCTGAGCCTTGGTTTCCATATGTGTAAAACAGAACTCGTAATACTGACGTCAGATGTGAGTTGTGAGACTTGAATGAGCTATATGTGCCTAGCAGCCAGCCAGCCCTCAGCCTGGTCCTCCGCAGGTGCGACAGGGGAAGGACATGCATCAGTCAGGGGAGGCTGGGCTGTGTGAAGACAGCGACCAGGATTTAAGTGTCATAGACAATGGGAGTCTGGTTCTCTCTCCAGGAGCCAGACTTCCTTCATTTTCCACCTCTTCCCTCCCTGATGCACTGCCCTTCTCCACATAAAGCTAGGAGGAGGAGAAAAGACAGTACAGAGGAGGATTGCCCACATCTTGCCAGCTTTGGCCTGGAACAGCCTCACCTCACTTCCACTCAAACCTTCCATTGTCCAGAACGTGATCGTTTGCCCATGTTCAACAGCAGGGGGCGCTGTGTGGATTTCTCCTGAAAGCGCTAGTCTTGACCAGAGAAGCAAAATATTTAAATCAAGCCCCACCCCATGTGATTTCATTCATAATGATAATTACGATTTGTAGCATTATTGTCATCTTCTGTGAAATTGGAATCTGTTTTTAGGAACGGGTCAGTGGCTATTTTCAAAATAATCTCCTTTATTTCCTAGCTCTGTGCCTCAGACAAAATCCTGGAGTTTGATCGGGATTTTCGAATTCGACATTACGCAGGTGACGTAGTGTGAGTATCTTAACTTTGGTACCTAACACGATGGTTTGCGTGCAGTCTCACTTCAGAAAATATAACCAGGGGAAAATATAAGTTGTTTTCCTATTCGTTTGCATTATTTTCAGTCATTGCATATACCTCGTTTAATCTTTAAAACAAAGTTGGTATAGTTTCATTCATTCCTGGCTTTTCAAGCATTTATTGAGCAACACTGTGTGGCCTTCCCCGACTCCTGGCGTGGTTGGCAGGCAGGCAGAACCAGCCGATGGACAGAGAAGTCGTGGGGGCACGGGAAGAACGGGGATGCAGCAGTAGATGAAGTGGGCCTTTCCCTGAAGAAGCTAACAGTTTCGGGAGCACACCAGCAGATGAGTCCCTCTAAAGAAGAATGTATGGAAGGGTTAAGTTCGAGGTGCACAAGACACCGTGGAAACACTGAGCAGGAATAATGAACCCGGAGTGAGGAGTACAGGGCAGTCTTGCTGCAGGAAATGATACCCAAGCTTAGTCCTACAAGTGAAAGAGGCTTAGTCAGGAAGAGAGGAGGAGGAGAGAGGCTGTTCCGGGCAGAAGACACAGCAGCCGTGTGGGCCCTGAGGTGAGCGTCCCCCCCGGGCGTGAAGAGCTGCAAGCAGTTGGGAAACTCTGGGAGCGAAACCCAGTTTTGCCATGTTGTTTTCCAAATATTAATTGAAAAGAAGAATTTGCATGAGCCACATTTCCTGATTATAAAACAAGTAGAAATTGATAAGAAAATATAACTTGAAACTGTAACTGCCCCAGTGTTTTAGGCTCCTAGGGCTGCTGCAACAAGTTACCGAGTGGAGGGCTTGAGACGGGAGAGAGGTGTGCTTTCAGTTCCGGGGGCCGGAAGCTTGAACCTGGGTGCTGGCGAGGCCACACCCTCAGGGCTCCCGAGAAGTCTCTTTTTCAGCTTCCGGTGAGCGCAGGCTTTCCCTGGCTTGTGGCCCCTCACTCCAGCCTCCGCCTCTGTGGTCACACTGCCTCCACCTCGTGGGTGTGTCTGTGTTAAATCTCTTCTGCCTCCGTCCTACAGCCACACTGTGAGGGCACGTAGGCCCCCCTGGGTGATACGGTGTAAGCTTCTCTCCCGAGCCTTCGCACGGTCACACCTGTGCCGACAGTCACAGCTTGTAGGGAGTTTGACATGGGTGTTCCTCAGGAGGGCATTTTTCGGCCCACTGTACCTAGTAAGCTTTGCTGCCCACTGAACACTGCCCCCTGCCTTGTTGTTGTTCTTTCTCCTCATGGTTGACCTCGGGAATTCTGTGTGTGCTCATAAAACCCATCCTAGGAAGAGATGAAACAACAACAGAGAAGCAAGGGGTGATCTCCAAATGCCGAAAAGACATCGGAAGAAATTTTGATTGCTGTTCCTGATGGAAATGAAAACTCTGAAATCACAAAATAATGTGGCTCAAAATGATCACCCCCATCTGTCAAACTAGCCATTAGTGCTGGGGTGGCACCATTTCCCACGTTTTCTGGTCCCGTTCCCAGGTTCTAGAACAGCGAGGAGGGAAGACCCGGCACCACACAGATGGCTCCCACCGAAACCCAGGCCTCACTTGCTGGGCACTTTCATCCAGCTCGAAATGGCATAAAAGCAGATGGGGACAGAGGCCTTGGAGACCACCTAGGCCCGCCCTTTTGCTTTACAGATGGAAAAACAGGCAGGGTGTGGAAGATTCGTACCCAAGGTCACTCAGCATGTTCGTGGAAGAGCTGAGACAGTGACTGGGCTTCCCAACTCCCGGAGCTCTAGCCGACCTCCTTGAGGGTGTTCAGTGCCTCAGACTTCCCCGGCTGCCCTAGGCCCTCCCGCCCTTTTCTAGGTATTTCCTGGGTGTCTTCTGTGTGCGCAGTATTCTGTAAAGGACGGTCCCTGCCCACAAAGCTTTCCATGTAAGATGCACACATACATTTATGGTTGTGTGTGTATTTTATTTAAACACATACATTTGTATGTTAGCTGTATAAATAACTATACATATATATATACACACATTTATATGTATACATTGGTACAATAAAAGATGGTCTAAAATAACTGCCGAATGAGTTGTCAGAATTCAGAACAGAGAAATGAGATCATACTTGTAGCTGTGTGTGATAAACCCAGGAAAGCTGAGGCTGCTCGGATCCTTGGATGCTGGGAATTATTTTTATAGGAACAAGTGGGAAGACTGCTGAAAATATTCAGAAAATTGCAACTAGGTCCATTTGACTGGAGGGTATTTTTTTTTTTTTTTGTAGCATAGACAAGTAGAAATGCCTAGAATAATAGGTTGAGATCAAATCATAATGAGTCTTGAAAGCCAAAAAATAAGGACTTCGAAGTTTGAATTTTATGGGTTAAACAACAGATTGAGTCGGGTGACTCTAAGGGTTCAGTCCACCGCGACTTGAAGGCATTAGGAAGAAGACCCGGGTGGAGGAGGCAAAGACATACTCTTAGACCTTCAGGTGCCCATGAGCAGCATGGCCTGAAGCACCTCTCTTGCAGAAATAAGTATGTGAGGCTGAAACACTGGTGAGAGGTCAGGGTTAGAGAGCTGAGAATTGTGTACACTGCTGTGATTGTCGAGGAGACAGAGACACGGGTAAGAAGACAGCTGTAAGGAGCAGCTGCATCTAGACTTCCTGCTCGCTCCACCTCCCAGCCTCTGCCCTCAGCACCCAGAATCCTCCATTGCTTTTACAGCCCCAGCCCTGAGTTTGCTCCCCCTAGAGTGCGTGCCCATCACTGCAGCAGAACAGCTCCCATCCCGCCTTTCTCTCCAGCTGCTGGACTTGCAAGACCTGACTCACCTCCCTTCCTCCAAACCGTGAATACTGGCCTCCTCGTTTTCTCTCAAGAATGCCACGCGTGTGCCCGCTGCCATCCCTTCATTCTGTTTCCCTGGGCAATCCGCCTTCCTCTCCTCTGCCTGTCCAGCTCTTACCATGCAGTTCTCCTTGGATTCCTTATCCCACCCTGAACACACCGACCTCCCTAGCATGAGGCTGTCAGTGCCCGTGTGTCTCTGTGGTGCTCTTCTCTCAGGGTTACTGTCTGTATTTTAAAGGTCACCTTCTTGAGGTAGGCAGTAAACCGGTAGAAAATGATCTTAATTATAATAACAGTGATGATGTGTGCTCTCCTTCTAAGGAATAGAAACAATCGCCCCTCTATTTAGGAGGTAACGTTGGCATCCCTTATCACAGAACATGGAGGGCGGAGTCAGCCCGAGAAGTTGATTGCACAATGAACAGTAGAAGGGTGTGTAGATTTCTAGAAAAGTTTGGTGAGTAATGCTTGTTTTCTGTGTTTTTTCCCTCTGTTAGCTATTCTGTCATCGGTTTTATTGACAAAAATAAGGACACTTTATTTCAAGATTTCAAGCGCCTCATGTATAACAGGTACGGTTGCATGTTGTCATCTTTATAGTAAGCGCTTTGACATATATTGCACAGGATATGTGCGCATGGTGACTTGTATGTGTCGATGTTAAGATGTTCTGGTAAATTTTCTTGATCTGCTTGATCATACTTAATGAATAAAATCACTTTATGATTATAAAAATCGGTGAACTTAGGACAAGGACCTGCTAATGAATGCGATTTTCCTTGGGTTCCTCCGTTCACTGCCGGCACCCCCCCCCACCCCCCCACCCCACCCCGGCGTACTCAGGAGTCCCCGGCCAGGCCAGTGGCGAGTGGAAGAAAACCTCTGGCCCAGCTGAAAACTGCACACTCAGGGTCCCACTGGTGTGTCTTTGCCTCCGACTGAGCGGTCACTCTGATATCAGAGTAGCATCTAGCATCAGGGAGGATAGATCCTAAGTGGACAGAATCTTCTCACCGCCCCAGGAAATGTGAAAAGCCAAGGAAAGCATAGCGAGTCCAAACCCAGCAGGACACTTAGGGAAGAAGGCCCATGAAGAAAAAAGGATTCGTAGCCCACTTCTCAGGGGTCGGAGGACCGTCGTCACTCACAGGTCAGGTCTCCTCAGTCAGCTGGTCGGTGGATCATCAGTGACGTGTTGAGCACATCTGAGCCACAGGTGCGTCCACGGATGCAGCTGGGGAAAAAGTATAGACCGAGTCCCTTTCCCCGTGGATCTTATATTCCAGGGCAGGTGACAGGCAGTAAACAAGAAGACGATTAGCCTCCCAGCAGTGACAAATGCTAGGAAGAAAAATTAAGGCGGTAAAAGACTGAGGCAGGCAAGGAAGGGCAGGGGAGACATTCTGGACAGGATGGTGGAGGGAGCTTCTTAAAGGAGGACGTTTGAGCAAAGACCTGGGTAAAGTGAGGTAGCAAGCCCCTGGGGGAAGAGCATTTCAGGTAGAGAGACAGCTAGTACATGGTGCTAAGGTAAGAATGAGTTTGGGAGTATTGAGGACAGCCAGAAGGTCATTGTGGCTCTAAAAAAGAGAGAGAGAGATGGGGAGAGTAATAAGGAGTGAGTTCAGAGAGGTCAACCAGGCCTGGGTTATGAAGAGTCTGTGAGCCAAGGTAAAGAGGAAGGGTGAAGGGAAGCCATCGGAATCAATGACTGGATGTGATTTATACGTAAAGAAGTCACTAGTGCTACCTTGTAAAGCTCACAGTGTTACGGGCAAAAGTAGAAATGGGAGACCAGTTAGGAGGCTAGTTGAGTCCAGTTAGGAGGCTGAGACTTGGATGGTAGTGACCGAGATGATGAACAGGAGTCAGAGTGGGTGATATTTGGTAAGTAGAGCCAACAAGAGTTGCTGGCGAATGGGATGCATGATGTGAGGGAAAAACAAATCAAAGATAATGCCTGAGCAGTAGAGAAGGGACACTTGATGGGGGAAGACAAGAGGAGGAACTAACCTGGTGGCATAAATCAGGTTTTGTCTTGGCTGTTTTATGCCCGAGGTGTGTATTATATCGGACATCCCGTTGAAAACACCAAATAGGCAAGTGTCTGTACATGTCTGGAACTCAGGGTGAAGGTGAAACTGGAGAAATAAGCTCATTGACAGTATTTAAAGCCATAAGACTGGATGAGATTTTAGGGTGAATGCAGATTTAAAAATAAAAGAGAGAAGAGGTCAAAAGATGAATCCTTGAGACCCTCCGACATTTAGAGTCAAGAAAGAAAGGCCCTGGTTCAGCAGTTAGAGCGTCGGCCTGCGGTCCGGAGAGACCCGGGTTCGGTTCCCGCTAAGGGCATGTACCTCAGTTGCAGTTTGTCCCCGGTCCTGGTCGGTCGTGCGGGTGGCAGCCACTCAATGTGTTCCTTTCACGTCGATGTTTCTCTCTCTTCCTCTCTCTCCCTCCCACTCTATCTGAACAAAAAATGGAAAAATGTCTTCGGGTGAGGATAAAAATAAATAAATAATAGAACCCCTTTCTTCATTAAAAGAAAGAAAGAAAGGAGGGACTAGCAAGGGAGACAGAGTGGGCCAGCGAGGTAGGAAGGAAACCTGGAGTCCGGTGTCGCAGCGGCCAAGCCAAGGAAAAAGTGCTTTAAGAAGGAAAAAATGTAAACTGTGTCAAAATCTATCAAAAGCAGGGTGATGTGAGGACCAAGATTAAGCACTGGTTTTGCTACCTTGAAGGTCAGTGTGACTCTTGACAATACTGGTCTCAGTCGAGTTGTGAAGACAGGTGTGTGATTGAAGTGGGCTCAGGGGAATGCAGAAAGTTAGAATGTGGAGACATTGTGTTTGAGCAGTTCTTTCGAGAAGTTTTGCTATAAAATAGTTCATCTTTGTACATGTTGATGCCACCAAGAATGCTGATGGAGCTGTCGTCACGAGACAGTTACAGAGACTTTAACTGTGATAGGGTATCCATGTAGGATCTGGTCATGGGGGAAGGGGACTTTCAGAAAGCAGTTTCAGTATTTAATTTATCAGGTAAGTGCACCCATTTTGAGGGACAGGTGACAGAGTCTGGCATTGCTCTGTGTAGAAAATGTCAGAAACTCAAATTAGAAAAATTGCTTTAGTTGGCCAATGACAGTGTCCGGGTCTGTTGCTGGGGGAAGAAGGCAGCCAGGCTGTGTACCAAGAGGCTGCCCAGTTACCCAAGGTTCAGCTCATGGAGAACAGCCCCACTTTCCAGGATGGATACACGTAACCCCAAGCTCACAGGACAAGTGTAGAAATGAAGCAGCCTGTGGATTTATTCCCAGAGAAAAATCTAACCATCACATGGAGTGGAATCCTCGCGTTGGTATCACAGATATGTTTTCCTATTGGAAAACCTACTAGGGAAGTCAGATAGCAGTGAGAATTATAGTTTATTAATTGGCCGTGAAAAATATTACCCATAAAATTCAGAGTGCTTAATTGCTTGGTAAACATGGAATCAGGACAAAGGAACATAGATAAATCTAACAATTAAAGGCATCAAGCTAAGATGAATTCATTTCACAATAGGGATGATCTTGCCAGAGGTGTAAAAACATTAAAAACAGCCTGGTACTGGCATAAGAACAGGCATATAGATCAAGGGAACAGAACAGAGAACCCAGAAATTGACCCAAGACAGTATGTGCAATTAATATTCGACAAAAGAGGCAAGAGCATACAATGGAGAAAAGACAGTCTCTTCAATAAATGCTGTTGGGAAAATTGGACAGCTACATGCAAAAAAATGAAACTAGACCACAAACTTACACCATACACAAGAATAACTCAAAATGGATAAAAGACTTAAATGTAACTTGTGAAACCATAAAAGCCCTAGAAGAAAATGTAGGCAGAAAAGTCTCAGACATCATATGTAGCGGAATTTTCACTGATACATTGCCTAGGGCAAGAGAAACAAAGGAAAAAATAAATAGAACTACATCAAACTGAAAAGCTTCTGCACAACAAAAGAAACCAGCATCAAAATGAAAAGGGAAGCCCAGGCCGGTTTGGCTCAGCGGTTAGAGCATCGGCCTGCAGTCCAGAGAGACCTGGGTTCGGTTCCCACTAAGGGCACATACCTCCATTGCAGTTTGTCCCCGACCCTGGTTGGTCATGCGGGTGGCAGCCACTCGATGTGTCTCTTTCACATCGATGTTTCTCTCTCTCTCTTCCTTTCTCTCCCTCCCACTCTGTCTGAACAAAAAATGGAAAAAATGTCCTCGGGTGAGGATAAAAAAAAAAAGAAAGAAAGAAAAGGGAAGCCACTCTATGGGAGATTATATTTGCCAATGATACATGGGCTAAAGGGTTAATATCCAAAAGATATAGAGTACTCATACAACTAAACAAAAGGAAGACAATTCAATTAAAAAATGGGCAGAGGACCTGAATAGACATTTCTACAAACTGTACATACAAATGGCCAGGAGTGGCCTCTCCCCAGAGCCCTGGGAAGGAGCGATATGGCCACCGTCCTGCGTGGCGGCAACTCAGCGAAAGCTCTGAGCGCCCTCCAAATCCCGAGTGTCCCCACACAGTTCCAGCCCGGTCCGCCTGCCCTCTGCCAGAGCCCAAGCCTTCATGCAGGATGCTGTGTTCTCTGCTCCTTTGTGAATGTGGCTGCTAGCCGGTTATGCTCATGATGATGACTGGGTTGACCCCACAGACGTTCCTGATGCTGCTTCAGGAACGATGAGGAAACCTCAGATGAAATACGGTGCACCAGAGGAAAAAGAGGTCAGTCCCGACTTTCATATGCTGATGAATTGTCGGGCTGTTACAGCAGACTTGATTCTTTAACTCATAAGATTGATGAATGTGAAAACAAAAGGAGAAAAGACTGTGAAAGTCAAAACAATCCTGTTTTCAGGAAACACTTACGTAAGATTTTAATTGAAGCCAGAAAGCTTGGACTTGCTGATGCAAATAAAGATGATAGGCATTACGGTGCCGAGATTATCCTTAAAAGACAAACCTTGATAGAAATACAAAAGTTTCTCGGTGGAGAAGACTGGAAGCCGGGCGCCTTGGATGATGCACGAAGTGATATTTTAATTAATTTTAAGTTGCATGATTTTGAAACAGGGAAGAGGCGATTTGAAGATTGCTTTGGCGTGGATCCATAGGATGTGTTTACGGTGCTTCCGTGTCTGTTCTGCATCGTGATGGTAGCTACCAGCTCTGGACATATCGTTGGTACGTCCAGTTGAACCGTGTTCTGTTCGTCAGTTTTCCCGTCAGTTTGGGGTGGAAGTGGATGTGTTTCACAAGTTGGCTCTCGCACAGCAGCAGGCCGAAGTCGCCGAGAAGGAGCCATTCAGCAACGTGTGCTGAGAAGGTGGACTGGTCTGGAAGTCTCTGGGAACGGCTTAACAGTTCATGGACCTGTAAGGATGACCCATGCCAAAAATACTATGAACTCTTATTAGTCAACCCTACTTTGTCGGTTCCACCAACAAAGGCCCTGGCAGTGACGTTCACCGACTTGGTCACGGAGCTGTGGAAGTACGTCGGAAGAGGAACTGGAG